ATAAGAGTTTGAAACAAACAAAAAACCTTGAAGCCCGCACTTTGATCTGCTTAGTTTGACAAGAAGCCTGATCTTTCAGAATAGGTTAGTGGCACACAAAAGCAGGTTTCAGTTAAGCAACACCAAACTGCAGTGCGACTTGACTGTTCTCAGTTCATTTAAATAAATGAATGCCAGGCCTCTGGACCTCTTAACAAATATTTCCAATATGTGCACAAAAGCTGAAGTAACAGGAAGTTAAGATTACAGTTCCTTGGCTACACCAGCTGATATTTCACTGCAGCAAACCACGTTTGCTGCTGTCAGGACTGTTTTCATTAAAACTCTCCCTCTGGATTGTGGCTCAACTTGGAAAAACAAAAAGACTTTTCCACGTTACTCATTTCCTATTGTAACAGAGCTTTTGAAAAGCTTCCCGGTTACGACTTGTTTCCAAACGTCCTGCTCTCTGCTTACACTTTAAAAAAATGTGGTTGGGGGGAGGGGTGTGAGGCTCACAAGTCTCTTTTACTCCATCCACATACAAGGAAATGTTGTTTAGAAAGCCACAAGATGGCTTATGGATCCCAGAGCTCTAAAAAGCAATCTTTTCTGAATAGGAACTCAGGGCACGGAGGCGGGCCAGAGAGATAGTGGTTGTAAAGTTGGACTTTAAAAAAATCTAGAAGAGGCTAGAAAGGGATCTAGAAATAATAATCGAAGGGAAAATTTAAGTATACAATCAAGAAAAAGCGCAACTAACCTAACAAATTTCTGATCAGAACATCTCAAAATGACAGGAATCGTACCAAACCCGAAGGGGCACTTGGCTGGAGGCATCCACAGATGAATTCTAAAGCAAGAATTCCACATTGTCGGAAGCGAGGAACAAAAAGACTTAAGGATTTTCCTCAACGAACCTTCTTTCTGATTGGATTAAAGCCATGGGGGGGGNCCTTTGTTTCTACAGTAGCTTTGAGTTTATAGATCTTGGAATGACTGTATTCCACTGAAGACATCTCAGTAACAGGAAGCTTCATTTTAGCAATCCCATGTGCAAATATTAATAAAAATATATATAAAATAATGCAATTCATCTCTTGCCATCACCCCGGCAATCATAACATTTGTGAGAACTGTTTTGCTTGAAAAGGGTTAAGCTGTAAGTTTTGCTTGAAGCTCCATCTCTGCAGCGCGTTTGAGTGCAACATCCACTAGAAGCTGAAATCCACTAAAATCCTGGTTGAGGTCTGGTGGAGTAGGGGGAGGAGTGTTGAAAAGACCACTTTGTGTATTTGTACTTGGTCCAGATTTACATGTGTCCTCTGGATACATAAGGGAGGTGTCTGTAAAGTTGCTGGCTGCTATCTGCTGTAGATCTGTGTTTTGTCCTACACCAACTGGCTGGCAGAGAGAGAAAGGCACATCTTTCAATGCAGTCACAGTGGTATGACAGATCACTGATGGGCGAACCAAAACTGATCCTGGAGAAGACTTAGGGGACAGTGGCCTCCCTAGGGCTGGGTTTGGTCCAGCTGTACAGGAATGAAAAGGGCTTTCCTCTGGAGCTGGCATGAAGTTTTTGATGCCCATTGCTGACTCCACAGAGCTTGCTTCAGAAATCTTGGCCCCACGGCGCGAAATTGTGAACTGATTTGGATCCTTGCCATCCTTTCTCAGCATGTCCGGGAGGAGCCTGCGGCGGGCGTTGATGAACCAGTTGCAGACCTGAAATCAGATGGGTATGCTTTAACACTCAGCAACAGGTTCTGAGGACCTTCCACAAATGCCTAATGGATCTCTCTCTGCATTAAAGAAGGCATGAAAGTGCTTAAAGGAATTTACAGTTATTTCAAGGTTGTTTCTGGGCCGGCCGTGTGGCTCAGTTGGTTAAGAGCTCACACTCAAGAGTGTGAGCTCTGAGCAACAGCATCACCAGTTCGATTCCCAGCCCGAGCTGAGCTGCCGCTGACCTGCCAACAGGTGGCAGGATGACTCAGCTTAAAAAAAAAAAAAAATCAAGGTATTTGTGCCCAGCCAAGAAAAAGAGCTGCTCCCTGTCATAAACCTCCTCTTCTAATATAAATTCCCTTTTATTGTCTCATCATCCTTCAACCTTTTCAGGAGGAAGAAAAAGGTATCAATTCTCAAAAATGATTCCAGAGAGGGAAGTTTACCTTTTGACTCTCCCCCATATTAATCGATTAACTACAGTCCCAGCATTTTAAAGTTAATCAGCTACAGGAGAACCTCTCCTGTATGAAAAAGGCCACTCCTCCCAGTTACTGATTTTTCCCAGTTCGAATGACTGTGTCAATAGACATAACATGAGTTACCTCACTGAAGTCTGTCCTTGTTTAAATATCAAACCAGTTTCCTGGGTAATAGAGTAAGATTTAACCTCCTTTTTATGCTTGTTGCATAAAAGAAGGCTCTTTTAGGCATTAAAAGAAATGTTATTTGACAGATGACTGTCAAGTGTTTCTGTTTCTCTAAATAGCCAGTTATCAACTTTCAGCACTAGAAAGTTTATAAGAAAAAGATTCTTCTTCTTCTTCTTCTTCTTCTTTTGAGTGGGGAGGCTTTAATAACTTGACATACAGGAATGCTATAAAATGAGTTTGAAAAAAAAAAGAAACCTGTGTGCGCATACACCCAATGTTCTTTTTCCTTACCTGTAGTGTAGACAGGTGTGTTTGTTGGGACAGTAATGCTTTTTCTTGCTCTGAGGGGTAGGCATTGTATCGGTGCTCATATAGCCAATCACGGAGAATCTGAACAGATTCCTTGGGCAGGTTGCCCCTTCGCCTTCTCTTGCCTGACCCAGCAGAAGAGGAAAGGTCCAAGGGGATGTCCATGCTGTCGTCATCCTCAGTCTCACTGCCGGACGCTGCAACAACACCTAGAAAAGGACAAAGGCCAGCCGTCAACCACTTTTATCAGCAGAGCACCTACTGCAAAACTCATCTCTTTGGACCATTCAGGGTAAACATGTTTTCTCAACTACTGAGAGCAAGGCAGGACCAGTGTTTTCTGTCCTGAAATACCAGAGCATGTGTGAAGTCTGAAGAGTAATTTGACTAGCAGCACATTCTAGATTCTCAACCAACTGTCAGATGCCCTTTCATACACACTTTCCTATTGGATTTAACTTCTCACATTCCTTTGGAATGATGCTCAGAAAAGTCCTTCATCTCATCAAACAGAGGAGACAAAGCTGCACCCAAAGTGAATATAGCTTGCCACATGTGAATCCGGAAAGGGGCTACAGCAGAAGGAATGTGTCTTAACAACCTTCTCTTTGAGACCATTGCTCTCTAGGATAAAATGAGTATCCTAATGTACACTTTAAATGCTATTATTCCTCCTTCCACTGTAAGTTTGAAATAAAAGGGAAGACTCATACATATTTTTCACAGGTATAAGGAGGGAAAATGACAAACTTAACACAGTATTCTAAAGATAAATGTCAAAAATTTCTGCCAATTCCATGGTCATTTTTTTTTCATGACCACTTACATTTATTGAAAACTCAACATCTACTTTTAATGGCTAGTACTAGTTTCTTTACTAAACACAAACAACCACTGTAGTTTTCAGTGTCATTACACAAAAATATTTTTCTATTAGTACTTTATAAGAAGTCAAAGATGCCTAATACTGAGTAAAATTTTAAATTTCCACGAACTTCAACTGCCAGATTAATCTGAATTTAGAATGCTACATATCAATAAGCAGAGCTCAGCCTTAAATTATTACATGACAAAGAAACCTGAATATGCAACTCCCAAAGAAAACTCTCTTTTGTCCGTTAAGTACTTTAATCCTACCAGAAATTTTAAGAATTCACAAGCCATAGAGAATATTTAAATTACACATTGACTGGGTTCAACAAAAATTCAGACCTGGCCCTTTTAGACATAATTTTGAACTTTAAAATATTTAAATAATAAACACTATTAACTCTCCTCCATTTCAAAACTATCGATACAATGGGAAACTCAGTGACTACAGAAATGCATTCTCTTTTTTTGAAGACAATCTAACATTTTAAAAATATAAATGAATTATAAACTATAGCATGCTTGAAAATACCAGTATTTCTATATAAAGGATATTAATTAAAGTAATATGAAATTTAAAGGTATGCATTCTTAACTTTGTTATCACAACTTTAAATGAGTGGTTTGCCTTGATAGCAAATAAAAACAGAATATTCCTTAGTGCTAAACCATTCAATGTACTTTAGGATTATTTTTAAGCCATCCTTTTTAAAGCCTTTTAACACAATGAAACTCAAAAAGCTACTCATTTAAAGATTTTTTTTTGATGAGATATCTCCCCAGTTAATTGAGTCTGACTTTACTTGGAGACACATTTTTAATTTTGGACTGCAGGGGGCAGAAGGTACTGGAAGGAGTGTCCACAGAAAAGGCAGAACTTTTGGAAGACAAAGTAAAGCAAGTTCTAACAAAAGAGTAAGATGATCTTGCAAATTCACTTTAGCTCAAGGCTCAATAAACAGCCATCAATAAACCGTACAAGAATCCTAAATTTTAACCCCCGGGTATCTGACGTTTCCCTTCCCAGAAGCCTTTATTGAACTGCTAAGAAAAAAAAACCCCAGAAAAAAAAACAAAACCCAAACACCATTTAAAACTGAAACTGCTTTCACTATTAAGATGAGAAAAAATTTAAACTTATTTTGAAATTTGGGTGACAAGCTATTCATAAAAAAAAAATAATAA